AAACGGGACATACACACACACACAGGACTTACGTCATTCCGCCCTCGAGACGTATCACTGCATTTCTAAAACCCCCACGTTCATTAGCAAAGCTGGAATACCCTAGTTATCTTTCTGGCTCTACTGATCTCAGGATTCCTTCCACTCTTCATCGCCATCTTTACCTCCTTCGTCTTCTACTTCTCCTCATTACATCCTACTTCTTGTTATTATGCGTATATAGGTCACGAGAAGTAAGCTTCGCATTGATCCATCTCACTACGTATTATCATCGGAAGTTAAATAACCGGATATTTCAGTTGGCAGAAATGCCGATTGTCTCTTTCTGACTTCGTGTATGTTTCCTAAACACAAAGAAATTGTAACAGGCCTGTTTTTTGTTTTTTTTTTAGCAGAATTAATATGCATCCAAAACTCCAGTTCATCATTTCACTTTTGTTACTTGCAAATTCCTTGAATTCCACCATTCCTTTGTTCGTTTTGTATGTATATATATATGTGCATTTTTAATCTCACTGGAATGCTCGCCGTGTGAATTCAATAGTCTTCAGATATTTTCCTACCGAAGCTTTCCTCTTTCGTGCATTTTTTTATTTATTTTATGTGAATGTTAATTCTGAATATAAGCCCCGGTCAGCTATTCGTTCCCATTCATAATTTAAATAAAAATGGAACAGATAAGGGTTGTTCAATATGGAGATAGCACAAATTTCATGCTTGGATCTAAATACGTTTAGAATATTATTAGCTGAACTCCGTCATTAAATACAAAATTTAATACTGGCAATAAATATCTTAATAACGTGTTATGTAATGACTACTTTAAGAATTATCATCTGAAGTAAGCAATGTGGTTGTACATTATATTTTAGATAAATCTCTGAAACAGGAAGAAACCACTTCCAGAAGAGGTGGTTCACGAACCGAAATTTAAACCCGGCATCTCTCAAATACTAAGCTAAATCTGGCGTGCTATTGGGAAGGATCGCTCATGAATACGCAAGTGTTATAAAAAAGCCCTTACAGTTCTCTGTAATGATGCTAGATGGCAAGATGTTCTATCTTACAAATTATGTCATCATTACGCAGCTTTTAGAAGCAGGCGACGTCTAACGTAATTGACAAAGATTATGACAGAGAAAAAAGAGGCAAGACTTACTTAAAGTGGTTTTGTTTGCATAGATATCATTATAACTCACAAAATGTTCGCATTATATAATTAAGCATAATTATGCCAGTGAGAAATCTGCTATACGATAAAAGTTTCCCAACATAACATTACGCAGCCATGTTGGTACTGACACAAACATCGAAACCACAAATTAAACTTGGGAGTTACTATACTCTCTGCCCCGTTCTAAGCGCGTTTGCAACATTCCTGCAAAACGTCTATTAAGTTAGCCTTGTAAATCAGTTTGTACACATATAACTCTTGAACGGCTGAACAGGTTTCCATTAATTTGATGTGGAGGTCGTGTCAATGGAGGCTACTCCTAACTCATAGCTTTTAATTTCCTTCAACAGGTAATTCAAGGTTAAACCTTCGCCAAGACGATTTTCCACAACTGATGATGTCGTCGCCGGTGACATCAAAAATTGTTTCGTTTCTATGGTTACCAAGCTATGAGGAACGTGTTTCTAGTATTTCAGCTAAGAAAAGCCAAATCCTTGCGAAAGCTATGAATGTATTTGAAAACTTGTTAAATTTAACTGACATTTGCTATTTTAATTACAACAGTTAACGTATCACAATTTAATGATAAATAATGCTAAAAGGATATGATGTATTATGAGTGTTTATCTTTACGTTCTTGTGCAATATTTGGTTTTACTTGCATTAAAGTACGGAAACTTTAGTGTTCACGCGTAAATTGACGTTAGACTCAGTTTCTGCTGAGCTATAAGCAGCCGGAAATTGTACTATTTAGTGTAGAACACTCAACAATACGGTGTCTGTGTTTTATTTATTCAAGTCAAATCCAGGAAACCAAGCCTAATGCTGTGGTTCGGATTCTGTATAAAAGGAGAAGTTAAATTAGTATTAGAATTATATACCAACAACAGCATGACAGATGGACGGACACTTTTGAACCTGACATATAAATTTCAGAATCTACGGATAAACTGAAATTCATAGCCCAATTAACAAACATTTTGCAATGAATTATTTCTTACGGTTGGCTGTCGTCTGGGTTCTTGCGCCGTGTAGTCTGGTAGAAGTTTACCGACGTTTCAGGAGTCCTTACTGCCACAATGATGCAGATAGTAAATTTTAACGCTGTTTTTCTGTAAATGATTAAGCTGTCCTGATGTTCTTCTTAGAGGTTATAGACAGAATGAATCATATAGTTTTACTGTATATTCAAGCAACCTAGGAGCTAAGTAAGATTCCGGGTTCTCACGACGACGAGTATGTAGAAAGACAACCATATTCAACCTAGAAACCATCAAGTTTTCTTCTCTAGCGACCTCTTTTCATTTGAGAATAAGTTGGCCAAGTCGTCCTTCATCTCTGAAATATATACAATGAATATGAGAGTGATCTTTCGGAATTGTGTAGCGTTCACGCCCCATTTCTTGGTGCAGAGATAATCCACTACAGTGCGGACCAAAAATAATCGATTTCCGATGTCGTACGAAATGTATCTTTATTCCATTGTGGTTTAGGAGCATTATAAAATCTACGAGAGCAAAGAAACTTGGTGAAATTAAAATAAAACAATGATTCGTCTCCCTCCACTGCTTTCATGAACATCTGTCTCTCTTTTGTCTTAAAATAGTGCCACATAGAACATTCTCTCATCACCACAAACGGTCCAGTGTCTCTTGTGATTCGATAGTTTCAAGAATGATAAGAACACGTGACAACATGCCTTTCTATATGGCAAAACATTCCTACTCTTTCGACACATCATATCGTAGGCTGCAATAAGGTAAAGTATTAATCAATGTAGCAGAGTCCTTCTTGATAAATTAACATTCTCCCAGCTGCTCAGGTAATTCTCCAAGCTGAAGAAGTGAGTATGTTCCCCCGAAACGTCGGTATCGTTCTACAAGTCCACATGGCCCATCAGCCCAGAAGACATCTATATTTTCATCGTCGCGAGAACTTAAAATATTATTGATTATCCTGTTGACAAGAGTCTGACACTTGAGCATTTATTTTTATTTTTATTTGTAATGTTCTGTCTGACGACAGGTCCATATGAACAGGATCCTTCCATCCTTTTCTCGGACTGGGACCTGTTCATATACGTTCTTGGCAGATGATCCAGAAGTGGTTTGCCATTGCCTTCTTCTGTGTGTGAATGGAGTAATTGTTGGGATGCCACGGAGAAACAGGGGAAGCCCCCGGAGGAAAAAAACTCCGTGTTGCCTAGACCACGATCTTGCCCAACACAAGTTATAAATTCGGGCACCGCCGGGAATCGAACCCGAGACCTCATGATTACAAGGCCAGCGTTCTAACCGCTAGACCACCGTGGCATTTACTTAGGCGTAACACTTGTAATCTCTAGTTACAAATCTATATGAAATCGCCTAAAACCGAAAACCAGGTGGTTTCTTGTAGAAACGTCTGCTAACCTGAGATAGCTCGAAAATGTAAACCTACAAAATGAAAAAATTAAGGAAGAAGCTGGAAATATAATTCTTGACACCCATAAAAGCAGGGAGAAGATTCCAAGAAGACTTTAAAATAAAACTAAACCATTTTCAACCATTTTATAATGTACCTGGCAACACAGAAGTAAAAACAGGTAGCACGATTTCTGAAACATTCGTTACCGGCTGTGACGACAGTTCAGGTAACGTGATTTAAACATAGAAACAATCTTACAGGCCGTTGAAATCCACTAGTGGTAGAAACGAGAGTTATTTTAGGGTGTTAATTCATTGATCCTACCTCAAACAGCGAGGTAATTAGCTGAGAGTACGCGTATAAATTCTGGACTAATTCGCATCTTCAGGACGAGAGTTCGCGCTGATAACAGCAACAAGTCACTCCGTCACCTCGCTCTGAAACCTTCAGGAATTCGCACCTGTGACTACCAGATATATAAATTTAGAAGCAGATTTATCGTTCAAGACTCTTCCTACTATAAATTATTACAAATTTCCCTATTAGACACTGTTCTTGTTAAGTTTCATGCATTTACAAGACATAAATAAATCATAAAATATTGTTCTACACTTCACTTATGTATTAAAATAAGTTAGAAACTTGGTGAGGGCTCTTAAGAAAATAGTTGTTGCACCGTGTTATCTCTTAGATGTTTACCGACGTTCCAGACGTGCTTACTACCGCCATCATCAGGGATCAATGGAAACGCTCATCGCCCGGAGCACAGAAGCAGGTGTGATCGTACTTTGATCATGCAAGAACATAACTTCGCTGGAAAGAATGGGGAATTTTCGTTAAACGGCTTCACTATTGCACAATACGAGGCACGATTTTCGCTGTCATAATCGGCAATTGAATAATTGTTTTTATGCATTTATTATCATTGTGTGTTGGATTATTTGCAAATTATATTATCATTATCCTTCATCACCCCTCAGAAAATCTGATACATTTATTTAGTGGATGACAACAACCCTGTGTTTAAGTCAGTTGTAACCTATCCTAACCTATCCTAACCTAACCTATCCTAACCTAACCTATCCTATCCTATCCTATCCTAACCTAACCTATCCTAACCTATCCTAACCTAACCTAACCTATCCTAACCTATCCTAACCTATCCTAACCTAACCTATCCTAACATATCCTATCCTAACCTATCTTAACCTAACCTATCCTAACCTTCGATTCCGAAGGGTTCTGGCAGTGGTGTAATGTAATCTGGATTGCTGGGTTTCGGACCTTGTCCAACGTTTAATGTTATAAAATACACACTGTTTCGAAGACTGAATCTATTCTCGTCTTCAGGTGTAGTGAAGGGGGCATCTACAAACCTAACCTAACCTAACATGCAAACAAGACAGAAATACTGACTCACCTCCTCGTAGGGTCTTGACTGCGGATGCGAGTCCTTGTAAACTTCACATTCATAACATGGTGCCCTCTGTCCCCAGGCTCGTTCAACCTCAGGTAACACGGACATCATAATAAGAGCGGCTCGTAACATGGCCTCCATCACTACCTGTAACAACATAAACTTCACTCCTGATTGTGTAACAGACTGTACCTTCACTAGTTTCAAATACCACAGGTTTTATTGCAAGATATGAGTTATAAATGGGGCTCACAATATATGTACTGGTAGGACAGAACAAATTTAAGAAAGATTTCTGTCTTCTGGGTTATTGCGCCGTGTAGCCTGGTAGATTTCCACCAACGTTTCAGAGGTCATACTGCCTCCGTCATCAGGGCGATGAATCTTCAGACTCACCTCTGTGAAAACCTCAAATCCTACAAATTTAAGAAACTTTTCACATCTAAAACCGTTACCATTCCTGTTCCCTCCATATCAACATCCACAGAGCAATTAGCTTAAAAATTGAAATTGTTAATTTTTCTGTGTGGTTGTGAAATTTAATCTCTTACTCTAAATGAAGAACATATATTACAGTCATTCTTGATAAAAGTGTCCAGAACAATATTTGGACCTAATACCGATAAATCAATTGAATAATTTAGGAAAACTACAAAGATCATCACTTTTCTATTTCAAAGTTCACTAGCATTATTACTACAATGAAATCAAGATGAGAATTAACCAACCGCCATGCCGCGTGTGGGAGGTACCACACTCAAATCTGACCTCAGTTCCTCCAGACAAATGCAATAAAAATATCTTTCACTGCACCACGAAAGCTTCCTTACATATAATTTTCAATTCATTATTCATTAATCGTCCTACCATCAACGCCATATAATCTGAGGCACTGACAGCCCGTTAAATAAACCACTAATACATAAATAAGACGAGTTAAGATAACGTTGAAATATGGCACTGATGGAGGAGACAAGAAGTGTGTACATTTTAAACTTTGAACTTCGGAAATAAAAAGACTCGTATGTTAATAGGCGCCTATATTACTATCAAATCTAAAACTTCTTGACGATGGTGAAGAGTCAATTGAATAAATTTTTTGGATATTATCCATCGTCTAGTAAATATAAAACGTAAAACGACGTTTCGGAGATGGGACTCTATCTCCGTCTTCAGGTTCCTACACAGTTGGGCCCACTAGATAGAGTTAATCCCTATCTCCGGACCTTTCTTGGATATTATCCATCGTCTAGTAAATATAAAACGTAAAACGACGTTTATATTACTGTATACGCGTGTTGTATACACAGAGCAGGTCTCCTTTAACAGCATTACTATAGAAACGGTTGTAATATTATCTCTTGAAGCCCTTAATACCTTAACAACAGCAAATGATCACCATCCAAGCAACCAAATCTGCTTATTATACATAGAGATATCTATAGATAGATGTCTGGACTATAGATGGATGGAAACTGATGAACAGTGTGTCCAGTGGCGTGCTTTGTAATTACCATTGTCATAGTCTTGGATTACAATATTCAATATTAATTGGGAACTATTAAGTATCTCACAGGCAGATGTTTATTTGTATTTAAATCGATATTCATAATAAGAAAAATAATGGGTACCGAGTATCATCTATTTAAGTGTTTCATCATAAAGTCCGTACATGGTACATCTATTAAGAGTTAGTTAGTTACTGAAACATACATTTCACTGCATCAGTGAAAGTAGAGAGGCGGTTTCCAGTACCTCGATGCAAA